GCAGTCGCTGTAACCGCTAATATTTAGTTCGTAGATATTTTTCCTCAAGAAAATTGTACGTAATATTCGTATGTGTGTGTTGATAAAATATTATTTTATGAGAATTAACTTCAATGGATTGCTTCGTTCATTGTCAAGTTATTGCAAAAGTGGATGTTTTTTTGTGAGGAGAAGATGATCAAATATCTTCTCTCGCCCCGGGTGATACGACAGAGAGTGTCAGACTCTTACTGACTAACACATCGTTCCTTCTCCTGTGTCATGCCAATGCTACCTTATTACCCTTGCCTTGCGACCTCGGAAAAGATGTATTCTGAGTTTCGTAGTTCTGTATATACACTGAGAAAATCTCATTATATGAAGTCTGAAGTCAACTATGCTGTCACAATTGATATCATTTATGAGAGCCTAGTGTGAATTTTTTAAAGAGACGATTGATTTATCTACGTATTGCAGGACACGGTAAGAGGAAACTTACGGCGCGCTCTGAACGTGGCCCTCCCATGCCGCACCATATAAATCTTTGTCAACACTGACGTGATCGAATCGTTGTAATAAATAGCTCGCACTTCGTACTCGGAAGGCTGCGTGTGTTGACTTATATTGTTATGACTGGCGAAAACTGGACATTACATTCACTGTTCGCACTTTTGTCCAGGATTTTTGGTGAATTAAAATGATTGTGCTCTTTAATAATTAATACTCGCTAATCCGGCGAAGTTTCACCCTCTGTTCAGGTCCATTAGTCGCAACGTGATGTTTTAAAACCTCTAACCTTCCTTCATAAATAGGTAAACACACACGAAAAGATTTTTTCAATTTTAACCAGCAGTTCCGGAGATAAGCTAGTCCAAACCAACATATAAACTTTTCAGCTTTATAATAAAACCTATAGGTATATAACCTGCCTTGACAAATAGGCTTTACAACACACAAAGATTTTTATAATTCGAACCAGCAGTTCCGGTGGATATCGCATTCAAACAAACAAATTTTCATCTATAATATTAGAATTATTATTGCAATAAAAAGTATAACAAGACAATATGAATAGTACGTGTATATACTTGAAGGAACCTAAACATAGCGTCTACCATTTTCGCAACTGTCTTCTCTTTAGAAATATAAATACGTGTAGTGTGTACATATAAATGTTAAGATGTATACCTCAATGAAAATGATCTCAAACCGTTTTCTACTTCAATAATCCCACTTAATTCCCTGTAAATAGGAGTTTGCTACACTAATTGGTATTTACCTTTTCTCTAATAAGCCACAACAAAGCCCTCACTCACCAGCCCGTGAAGAAAGTAGGTAATTGAAGATCATACGTGATTGGAATACCTCTGGATCAGATGAGAGGCAACTCTATGAACTTCTGGGTTCTTTTGAAAAAGAACAAAATGTTTTTAAAATGGGATGTATGTATGTAGATTAGAGCTCCTAACTTCAATGACGTACAGGCTGTCGGAATATTACTCTGTTATGACGTTGCAAGCTTTAAAACCTACATATTTGTATGTATGTATGTATATGGGTAATGGTGAAAAACGAAGAATTTCAAGTGTGTAACCGGACTTTTAGGGGTTGTTAGAAATTTGAGGAAGGCTTAAGTCTCCAGGAACCTATCTATTGTTTCACGACGGTTTACTGTGATGGCATTACTCTGGTCGATTGGGTCCATTAGCGGTGGCGATTTTTTTCGAGGTATTACCTCCACAAAAAACCTTGTGATCGCTTATCTGCTCATTTTACGTTCACAATTACACATTTTTGTTTGGCTCAGGCGTTATTGATTATAGTAAATGCAGTAGTATGATACAAAACAATTTACGTTTTAAGCATTATACATTATAGTATATTAAATTAAGTAGGTAATTACATATATTTTATATGGTTTTGTAATTTCACTAAGTTGATTATCCTTTGCGCTCACACGTTACTTGCGTTGCTTCCGTCCGTGCGTGCTGCAAGGGTACCCTATAAAAACAGAGTTGGGTTCTTTTCTTTCCGAGCCCAATAAGCTGGCAATGTGCCTATGTGTAACTAAAACCAAAGATCCAATCCAAAAATGATGGCAAAATCTTTGAAAAACTGATATTTATCTTAAAACTATCAATACCAAAGAAACTTTCAATATGGGACGTCACTACAATACTTTTCTAAAAAAGTTTATTAATAAATCTAAACTAAGTACATCAAAGAACTTCTTTTCATTATAAGATAATGCTGTGTCATCTGCATCAGCTGTTAGCGCATTTTCGAGAAAGTTCTTAAGACGTATTAGTATTCCTGTCAAGTCTAGCTAATGCCCCCACCCCAGATTGCGGTTGTTTGAAAACTTCCAAAATCTCTTACTTTTTATCCTTGAATTTTCATACACGTGGTGGTTCTTCGATCGAGTTTTCAAAAATACAATATCAGTAGTAACGTACCCATAATATTTTTTACTTCTTCATCGGTTGTGTAGTTCCAAGCTTGATATATGACGAACAGGCAATAAGCAATATCTGGTGCGATTTTAAATATAATATGCGCTCCTAATCAACACTTCTGTATTGTAATTGCTCCACCTGCTCCAATTAAGCAGTGTGTGAAAAAGTTTTATTCTTCTTTACTGTTTTAGATCCTATTTGGTTTAAAACATAACTGCTAGCACATTACGATCTCCCCACTTCATCATTGCCATTATCCAAAATGCGGCCAACTATAACACGTTACCAAAAAGAAAATCGCATTTTCCAACAAACAAAATTGAGTCTTACATTGTTAGAGATAAAAATGATATTTGGAGACGTGATCGGTCGTTACCGGCGCCACTGATAGGACAGTCGCACCGATAGAACGGTCAGTATCCGCACTCCCGTTGCGCTCAATTGGGTTGCCTTTTGCTGGAAACTTAGCGTTGCGTATTATACGCAAATTTCGTTGAAATAGGTCACACTACTTGACACCGGTGCCTTAGTCAACCGAGTTGAGTACGGAAAATTGAGTTATGACCCGAAATATTTGTCAAAGAAAGTTAAGGAACATTTGCATTAATGAGAAAGACACGGTCGACATGAAACTGAATAGATGAAAATTGCAGTTAAATGCTAGCTCTCACAGCAAAATCAAGCACACGACATGAATCAACAAATTACATGCAGTTGAAATTTTATCTGGCTATTCAAAACGTATCTTTGTTGTTCTTTAAATTTCGGTATAATGCTTGGAATATTTTATCTCACACGTCCAAGTTTTAAAAGTAATCACGGAGCTTGTCCTATTTGCGCAACCGTTAAATCGCTTTTTGTCTGTGTTTCATGTGAAACAAATGATTTAATTTCAGATTCTCTAAAGCTCGCATTCTCTTGGGGATTTGCTGCAATAATTCAGGATGTAATTTACATAAAAAATCTTTTGCATTTCCTTTCTTTACTTGATGTAGTTTTAATATCTCGTCTGGAAGAAGTCGAATGAAAGCAACAATCGCCTTATGAAGGCCTGGCCTTTAATTTTCTTTTAAAAATCGTGACCCTTTCAACCGAATAAAGGATGAATAGTCCCCGTTCTAACGTTTGCACGTAAAAAAATCTTTAATTTTGCGGCTCCCTCATTAATTCTCTCGCTTTTGGGGTTTTCCCTTATTGCTAAGATAATTGATACTGCGCTGGGTTAAACGAAATTTCGCTTTCATAATGAGTTAATAGATAAAAAGTTCTATAATCATTGTGGTTGAAGCCAATTGTTTTGCAAACTCTGGAATTAGAGATGGGAGTCTTTTGGAACTACTTATTAAATTTAGAAAATATTTATTATGGTCGTCAGTATTTAAATTCATTTTATTAAAAAAACGCTAACCTAGATTTCAATTTTAGGATGGATCAAACAATCGTTTAAAAAAACGTGACAACGAAATAATTTGAATTTCATTCCTCCCGAGATTGGAGGCTCACAAAAATGAATAAATAAATTCACAAAGTTTGTCGTTCATGAAATTTTATGTATGGTATGTTGAGTGCCGTGAAATGCCGGTCCAATAAGGGACACGATCTCTCAAAATTTATAATATGGTATGATTGCGTAGTAATCCCGAAAGGTGTTGTTTTATTGGGACATGAGTTGGGGACATGTTTAATATTTTACGACTACCGTACATAAGGGTAACATAGGAAAGTTACCTCTTACAAAAACTCGCTACTTTTCTACTTACCTCGACATTTATTTGATGGCCTGTACTGTAATAAAGAGAGAGTTTCCTCAATGAGAGGGGATTTTACTGAATCCGCGCGAATCCAATATAGATTAGTGAGCCTTTCATCAAATCTCCTACTAATGGGTCGGCAGTAAGGTGCGATCTCATAATTTGATCGAAACGTACGTGCGAAACACCTCATGCAACTTATTATGATGGGAAAAGTTGCTGGTAGAGGGAAAAACTTCTGTAGAAAATAAACGTCTTTGTGTTATGGCGGAAAAATTGAGCCATGAAACGTGTTTGTGCGGTCTAAATAATGATGTCACAATTATTGACGGTTTTCTATATTTGTTTAATATTTTGCTTGCATTTATTAGGAAAAAACTTTTTTTTTCTTGATTCTTTCGTTCGGTTCGATTTTTAAAATAAATCATTTGTTTTTATTTTTCTTAGGGAACAGGTTTTAACTAATGGTACGTTTATAGTGCTTTTCACGTCAATGTTGTCGTTACTAGAAACCACTATGTTTACGTCAACGCTTGTTGGGAACTATGAGAGCTTTCTGCTGTCTTGCATAAAATGCACTCTTGAAATTACAAACTTCGTTTTAGATCAAGGCTCTCAAGGTGATATGTTTTAAAATATGTGAGATTTTTCAACCACATACTGCTTTTATGCATTTTGATTTTTTATATGTTACTTTAGGATTTTTTTTCATTAGCAGACTCCATAAAATGTAGTCATCATTATTTTGAATAGAGTATAACAGTTCGCAATTCAAGAAAAATAGAACCTAAAATCCCTTTTTCTTTATTTACAGTTCAAAAATGAGTCCCACTCTGACTCTGTTCTGCATCTTCTTCTACGCTCTTCTGTCTCCTCTGCAATGCGGCACTTCATCAAGCGCGGATGATGACAGAAGATGGCTGGTATCTCTGGTTGACCTTGTGGAGTTGGACTATGTAGACCATTGTGAACAGAGAGCCAACGCTGCGTGGAATGAGCTCACTGGAAATAGCAAAGGATTGGCTTCAAAGGTTTGTACCATATTAATATATAATAATAGTTTGCTTTATATTTTTACATTTACGTCGATCCTAAGCCAGACTCAAAAGTACCGTATGTCGGGTGTCATCTTGACGGCGACGCGCTAGCAATTTACCCTATGCTGACAATATGGCCCTGTTAAATGCATCGGTTTTAGGTTAGAAGAGGTTGATCAATTAAATAGAAAAAATGTAGATTGATATAAAATATTTTATTGCATGGTCTTCGCGGCGGATAATGCTAAAGGCCCAGAAGCTAAACTACTAGTTAATTTGATAAGGTAGTGGACCAGTTTAAATACCTCACACGTGTGGTTCTACCTGATCCAAGAGAACAGGATGAAAATTAAGGATCTTAAAAACTCAAATTACTCGGAAATGGCTTCGGAAATATCACGTGATACAGCGTAATTAAATTTTTTTTACATAGCACCTAGTGCTTATTTTTAGTTACAAAGTTTAGTCTTACTTGTGTTTTCTGAAGCGATATGTTAATTTATTTGAAGTTTTCTTCGCACAAGCATTTTGTGATCGGATCCTTAAATGCTTGAATATTTTAAATTATCTTTAAAAAAACTGATTGCGTACTTAAATGAAATAGTCTTTAATTATCTATTTAACCCATTTTAGATATTTTATCTATAAATTCCTAACTAGTGAAGGCCATTCATTAACTTAATTTCCCGTATTGTGTTGTAAATTTTCGCTATTCATTTTATTTGTTTAACTCTGTATGTCGATTTAAGAGGACATTACACAGTGTGGCGTCAATTTTGTGAGATTTGTTATAAAACATTATTATTATTAAAATGTCGGGTTAATTTAGTGATTTAGAATGAATTAATTTGATTTTAATGTGTTGAATTTTAAACCATTACATTATTGGACATTTTTAGTGGACTTGTCCTTGTGTTTTTTGAAGAAGTTAACTTATTTTACTTCGATTGTTTCTCAGTGAAGTTTAATCACAAAATAATTGAAATTAAAATTCTTTATATGTGTGTATGCATCTTAAGGTACAAGGATCTTAAATGAAAATAACAGGCACAGCGATAAATTGTAATATTCTTTATTCTTAGCTTAATCTACAAATTGTTGTCTTAATTATTACCAAAACACTTATAATCTATTTATTTTATTTATTTCAACAGTTGGAGCGCGACAAGACGTTCGGCATGTTCGTCTGTCAGCAAACGACTGACATAAAAAGCGCTCTCACCGCGCATGCGCTCTCCGCCGACGACCACGTGCTCCGGCGCAAGGTGAAGCTGTTGTTACAACCTGGAGATACTCTGCTTGATACTGAGCAGTGGATAAGGGTGAGTGGCTTTCTATTCTTTTAAGGTGTTTTTTTAATTTTGGAGGTGGTTTAATAAATAATATTGTTTAAATATTTTCCTGCAAAAAGTTCCGTGAAACATATAACATTCTAATTATAAGAGTCAGTAGTCAGCGCACTGCTGCTCAAGAATATGAACCCCGGCCTCGAAGTGTGGCTCGAAAGTAGTCGAGATCCTTATCAAATAGTAACGTAAGAAGCCATGTTTTAAACGCAATATATACAAATACTAGCTTCCACCCGCGGCATCACCCGCGTGGTATGTTGATAAAAAGTAGGTGATGTCCTATTCCGGAACGTATCCTATGCCTGTGCCAAATTTCATTCAGATTCGTCCAGCGGTTTTGGCGTGATTGAGTAACAAACATCGTAACTTTCGCATTTATAATATTAGTAAGATAAAGATAAGATAATTTTCTCGATTTCCAATTCTGTAAGCAAATATTCTAATATTTATTGCTCTTATAAAAATGATACAGAGACAGCAATCGAGACTTTTTCGTACAATCTCGCTACGGAAGTGAGGAGTTCTATTCATAGTTATTACTAGCAAGTCAGAGCTAAAGAAATCTTCAAAAATGCTTCCATATAATAAATATTTGGAACCAAATAAAACTACCTATTTCTGAGAAACGAAGATTCGGTTCTCATACAAAACATATTGGATAGAAAGAGACAAAAAAATATTACGATCTCTTTTAATATTATTTCAATAAAACTTCTTCTTTTTCATACTTTTTATGTTTTTAGGAGACTATCCGACTATGTTAAGTAGTTCATAATCATAAGTAGTATACGTGGCTATGTGACCTATTGTCTCTTTCTAAAGGTCGATGTGCAATATTTATAGCCGGGTTATACCTCTATACACCTGAGAGATAATAAATTCATTTAGTTATTTTTATTACGATATATAGTGGGAAGTAATTGGGTATAAATCTTTGCTTTTATTTATGACGACCGCTGTGGTGTTTTATCTATGAAATATGTGTCTAACCGTCTCTTATGGGAAGGTAGTACTGAAAACTGCTTTTATTGCTTGGTGAGGTACTTAACTTTTTATGCCATTGAAAAATACACAGTATTATAATAATTTCAGAGAAAAAAAAAATAAGAACACCCATTTTTTACTAATTAAATAAAGAGTCTGCCTCATCATTAGCCTTTAAGTGCCACTGTTGAGCAAAGGCCTCTTATCACACAGACAAGGTTTGAGCGATCACGCGTGGTGATCGCTCAAACCTTGTCTGTCTGTCTTGCTAAAGGTGGATTGGCGATTTCAAACTTATAATTAGAAATTATAAACCCAAGTTTCCTCACGATGTTTTTCTTCACCGAAGTATGTGGTGTCTAAATCAACTTAAAAAGTATATAAAATATGACTCGGAAAAAGTCACATTGATACTTGTAAGGTTTCGAAACCGCCTTTTGCCGGGAATCATTCCTGGGTTTCTGTGTTAAATGTTATAATAAAATCCCAGTTGAAATTCAAAATTTAAATGAAAGCAAATTTAAATTATGTATACAGAAACATTTATGTAAACTAGCATACTACAAACTAAATGATTATATACAAGATAAAAATGCTTGGAGGCTAGCTGGTCCTACTCCACAGGATGTTTAGAGTATTTTTTTTTTATTATTATTAAATTGTACACTATGTTGTTAATTTTTGATGAATTTCTAAGATTTTGTAAATGTGAGTGCCCTGTAACCTATTATAATTAAGTAAGACTTGTAGAATATAGGTACTTGTGTCGGCTGAGAGCTGTCATGCTCACTCAGAGGTCTCATTGGCGGTGGCACGGGCACTGGATCGTCCAATTCCCTATAATATGGTTGAGTTGGGCGGTGCTGGTGTACGTGTCATGTTCGTGAACGGGCGCCGCCTATTGGGACTGGTCATCTCCAGGCTGTCTAAATATGTTGTCCTTGAGGTTCACTTCTTTTTCGTACTTTTTGCCTGAACATTAGTGTTACATTGTTCTCACATATCAGAACCGACTAAATGATGTAACAAAGAAATGTATTGTAAAACTGATTGAAAAAGAGTAACCATGGAGTTTCTTGCTCGTTCTTCTCCATAGGAATCTACACTTTGGAACGAGCAAATAGCTTCACTAGAGGACAGACGGACAGACTGACACGCCTAATTTTAAAGCTCTTGTTATATATACTTTTTTCCTTTTTTGCTTGCTTGACGTTCAAAAGTGCCTACTGTGGTCTAATTGAAATAAATGATTTTTGACTTTTGACTTTTGAATTGATAACATGTAAGCTTATTATTAGTGATTAGTATTGTTACAAGATTTTATGGGACCTGATTGCGAGGCTCATCCCACTAGATTGATAATTACAAATTCAATGGAAATAGATACATAAAATTTTCACATTTTTACAATAAAATTGAAAGTTTGCTATCAAATAACTGCAATTCATTTCCCCTCGTTAATTTTTACAACTTTCTTGTTAAAATATATAGCTGCCTTTTTCTTTGTTTTTCGCTTATCTGATGACCCGGAAACTAAGAGGGGTAAAACTTCATCTAGTTTATCTTGCTTTGATTCCCACAGTAAGCTGTACTAAGGGAATCTTAAGATTAATGAAACTAGGTACTTCTATATTGGATAAATCGTTTACACGATGTGTTGAGAAATGGGAGAAGTTTTGTAAGACTTCAAGTTATTAACTTCATTTTAGGTCGACTAAAGTTTTTATTTTTTGTGAGTCTACACTGTACCTATATGTTAATTTTACTATAAGAGGCTTTTACTATAGGCTTTTTTGAGGGGGTTAAATATCAAATGTGGGGTGTGTGGGATGGCCATGCTTCAGCACGAATCGGTCGGCTCGACCGGAGTGATATCACACAGCCTTACAGAAAACCGTGTGAATGAGGTTACTGGACGCCCAGTCTCCAAATCTCTGATCCCCAAAAGGTCGACAACGCACTCGTTATTCCTCTATTGCGGGTTTCCATGGGCAGCGCTGATTGTTTACCATCAGGTAATCCGCTTGCAAAAAAAAAGATTTGTCTCGCTCTGGGTGGAGCGAGGAGACTAATACTGCCTATAAACCATACTACCTTGACATTAAAGTCCATTTTCCTGAGTTATGGTTAGTTATATAATATAGCATTTCTTAAATAAGTTATTCTTTTCAGCTCGTCACTTTCGGTGACAACGCGCAACACAAAATAAGGTTCGCCACAAACTACGATTGTGGGACCGCCACCAATTGTACGCTTAAAGGTAAGATAAGCTTACTTTCATTAATGTTAAACCAATAAACACAAAAAATATCGGAATAAAGTCAAACTAATAAGCAAAGAACACATGTTAGTCCTAAATAGGACTTAAAAGATATCCTAAAAGCAAGAGATGAAAGAAAAATCCTTTGTTTAATCTAATTATTCACCTTCTAAATAGCTCTTTATACAAAAACGCCCTTTTAAAATAAGAACAATCAATTATTCAGACAATAAATATGATTACCATTTAAACAAGGAAGTTAAAAAATAAATTTCAAATGTACATTTTGATCTGGGGGACAATTCCAGAAATATCTTAATTGGCATTGGACTCGAAACAATTCTAACAGGAAAAATAATCCGTTTGAGATAACAAAAAAAAAAAAATTTGACGGCCAGTTATGGAATAAATTGAAGGTTTTATATAAGTATAAGGCGAAGGACAAATGGTGGCTCAAGAGAACCTCTTGGCCCTCCAAATCAAATTGCCAAGTCATTATGAATCTTATAAAGTTGACAGAAGTTTTAATAACACTGGCACGAGAGATGAATGTTTGTAAAAAGTTAATTTCTCATCTAGAGTGAGAGCACTTGTACTTTTATAAGAAAAAAAAACATTAGTGTCGGTTTTATGCTCGCGTAAAAAGGTAAGAGCTTGGCTAGGGATTCCAGTTGTCATACAATGATGCTAATATGAAAAACGTTCAGATTTTAAGCTAAATTAAATAAAAACTATGTCTACACTTCATCACTACATAGTATAAAACAAAGTCGCTTTTTCTGTCCCTTTATTTTATCCCTCTAAGCTTAAATGTTTAAAACTACGCAACGGATTTTGATATAGTTATAGATAGAGTAGTTGAAATGGTAGGTTTGTATGTATGATCATCATCATCATCATCATCATCAGCCTATAAGTGCCCACTGCTGAGCAAAGGCCTCTTCTCATAAGGAGAAGGTTATAGAGCAATAATCACCACGCTTGCTCAATGCGGGTTGGCGATTTCAAACTTATAATTAGAAATTATAAGTCCAGGTTTCCTCACGATGTTTACCTTCACCGTATGTCAGTGGTGTCTAAATAATCATAGAAAGTACATATAACTCGGAAAAGTCACATTGGTACTTGCCAGGTTCCGAACCCACACCCTCATGCATGAGAAGCGGGCTCCTTAACCTCCGAGCCACCACGATTTTTTTCGATGATTGATATGTATGATAGCATACATTAAATAGCGCAGAAATTTTGTATTAGCATTGCACCCGTTAGATATACCTATATATATACGTATATTACCGGCCAAATACAAATATGAATCTGTTCTAAGAATTTCGCCTCTAAATCATGCTTGCTGTATAAGAGTTCCCTTAAAAAGAGAAATACATCGTCTATGTTAATTTCAACAGTATAGCTACTGTTCATGAGATAGCCCGATGACAGACGGAAATAGCGAAGTCTTAGTAAAAGACTTCCCGTTTTTACTACTAAAAAGGAAAACGTTATTCACTGGAATTATAATTTCACTATTAGCAGGACCATTTAAAACAACCGTAAATACTAATGAATCATTTGCTATTCCATTGTGTAATTTAAAGCCTCAATTAATAATAAAATGTCCCGAATCTGTATTCAGTTAATTAGTTCAATTAATGTTCGGGAGCTTACCGTTTTCAAAATAAACAGTGCTTTCAATACAAGGAAATCTAATTCTACAGTTAGTTTGAATTCACTTAGTATTTGTCTTAGTAATTTAAAGTGCTGAGGGGGTCTTTGTCAGCCAGCAGGTCAACCTACTCCCAATTTGTCGATTTATGAATCTTATTTACGACTTTATATTAAAAAGGATAAAGTTGAAATTTGAATAAAGAAAGTTGATAAAATGGAGTTTGGTTGATCTGCTGGTCTGCATTATCTGTTTTGGTCAATCGATCTTAGTGTTTAGCAGTCGGATGGAGCATTCCAAATGTGTTTTGAATCTTAAAGTAGCTATTGCTTTTGTAATTTGGATGAGAATGCATTGGAAATGTTTCCCGTATCTAACACTGTTTGTTTGTTCGGTTGTGTGTATATTTTTGTTATTAACTTATTCTTCTTAATATAAATTTTCATGATACTATTTACTACTTATTTAATATTTTTTACAGAACTTCATTACTATATGGCACGCCAACAAGACGAGGAGACCTTGCATCGTATGAAACAGTCGTGGGAGAGGAACTTACCAGACATCAACGATTATTTGGAGCACATTTTGCCATTACTGAGGAATGCTTCCAAGAAAAACAGTAAGTTTTTGCTTATTTTTGTTCTTTTAAATTAAGTCTTAAAATAAAGAACGGCATGCCTTTGTTTTTTGAGGGAGTGTTCATCTTTTCTGACTAAAAACCATACCTTCCTTCTTTTTCTGCTCAGGCCGAGGCCGCAGTTAATATTTGCGCTTGATCTGCAACCCCGGCTGAGTGGCAGGCGACTTGAGATCGCATTTAGGTTTTTTTATTTAAATTGAGACAAACCCGCCGCAACCTCCCAAAACCGCTGCAACTACTGTAAGCCAGGATCTACAGTAAATACAACCATGGAAACACAAACTGAAGTCCAAGGGACATGAATGACTGTCTTGGACCCCGCAACGAAATAAAGCAGAAGATATTATTTGAGTAGAAGAAAAAATGAAATAGTTTCCATAGCCCTCTGTTAATTTAAAAATTGCAATCGCATTTACGTTACCAAAAAATTACATAAGGTTTCGTTTAAAAAACCGTATGAAGGTCATTTTAAAAGGTTTTATAGGTATTTCAACTAAAGTTGACGGTCCCCTTGACCGTACACCGTACATAAGTATTGTATAAAATATTGTACAATGGATGCTCATTTTGTGAATGATAATGATATAGGTACCCTACAGGGCTTCAAAGACGACCCTATTAGTAGGATTTCATTGTCTGTTTGTACGTATGTCTGCCTCTGTGCCACTTGACTGCAATAATTATTTCCAAATTTAACATATGTCTACGCTTATTTTATTTATTCAAGCTTTTTGAATACATAGGTTGACTTAATGGTTAAGGCATTATCTACCATTCTGAAGAGTAAACGGCACACGCACGCAATCTACTGATGGCGCCCAACAAGGGACAATGTTCCGGGGTTAGGAAAAAAATAATTATAATTCAAACCAATTAATAAAATATTATAATGTAATCTAGTTAGATATACAATTAGTATTTCTCGTGAATATGTCAAATCATTATAAAATTGAATGAGTGACAATTATTAGGAAAATTCGTTATTGATAGAATTTAACGTGCGTATCATATTATAATGCTATTATAAACATTGAATAATCATTATACCTATAAGTATTTATATTAAATGACAATATTTAAGACCTTACAATAATTAAATTGTATAAATATTCAATTAATAATTGTTTAACTAAAAATCGCGGGTTACTCACGTGTATAAATTGAGAAAAGCTCTACTAGTTTCGAACCACAGAGGGGTTCTTCCTCATGAGCAGCATGCGCGGACGCGGCGACGTCGAACAATTTATACACGTGAGTAACCCGCGATTTTTAGTTAATTTAGTATGACTCATAATAATTGTTTGTTATTACGTAAATCATTTTAATGGCTAGTTGTCACGTAGATTGATTTATTTATTACATATTATATCAGATATAATATATTATGAATACATGATCTATCTCATATCGATACGTATACAAATGAAAGTCCAAGTTAGCTCTATTAATACACGTGCAGTGGAAGCGTGCTGGGCCCATAACCTATTAATACACACATTTTCGGTTAATAACATATATTTAAGACAAGCGACAAAGAGGTTCACAGACTAAAATATAGATACTCATTTTGTTAATCAATATAACAAGCTCAACATGGATTTGAAATTATTATTGGACAAAATCTCGCAATATCTCACTTTACATTAATTATATCTAATTGGTATTCATAAGTCTACGATTGACCAAAGAAAGCATATGCGAAAGTAAATCGTGGCGCAATCCCACAGTACATGTAAAACGGTGTCATTTTCGGGCCACACGAAGCGCAGCGTCAGCGCAATTGTTGGGTCGTACAACTTTAGCCATATACCGCGGCCTGCGTAACATAATGGTAAGCAATGGGCGCCACCCATGGACAACAGCCACACCAGAGGAGTTGCCAGCCTGTTATTAAGGATTTAAGAGTTGGAGGTTGAGTAATCTGTAGGGCAAATCCTACCATGATTAGCTCCTCTCCGGTAACCTCACTCAGACTTCGAAGCACAAGCAAAGCAAAGGAAGTCTCTTTCTTCTTTATCTCTCTCTTCGGTTTATACCCTCTTATTATCAACACTAGACGTCAATTCAAAAAACAGACGGGACCCTACCTTTCCTAAATGAAAATAAGACTAGACGTGATATAAACGTGCAACGCAAATATCTAACAATTAGTTGAATGTCGCTTTGACGGCTTCGGGCTTTTCAGAAACCGGGTGTGTCACATAAAAGTTCTATCTACATAGTTCAGCTATCTTATATTTGCTTTCATTATTTGTTTCCAAAAGAAAAACGTTTGAATACCTCGTATAGGTTGGTTTATTTATAGATACCTATTCTAAATAGGAAATCTACTTATACCTACATTACTTTTATCAAAGGAGACCATGATATTTAAACATTTAAGGTCCAAATTAATTACATTCGTTCACTACGTCTAATTAAATAAGCGTGTTTATAGAAGAGGCTTTTCAATCTTAATTTCTTAATTAATATTAAACTAAAGATTTAACGTCGCGTCGCTCCTGAGAATTCTCCATTGAAACCCATTTAGGATTTTGTCAATAAGTACGTAACGAGGCGAAATTCCCAACTTCGGCCATGAAGTTGTGAGAAAATAGCATTTTGCTGAAAAGCTTAACGATAAAGTTGTTTGTTTTCGACAGAGTATAAATATTTTAATAAATACTTTACATATTAACTAGACTTCGTACTTAATTGAGTCGTATATGAATATTAAGGTCGTCTGCTGTTGTGGCGTAGAACACCTCGAGTTTTAGTAAGGTAAAAATCCAACGCAATCGTGTCTCTTTTTATAATATTTTAAACGCTTTAGGAATATTTTCTCCCTAACGTAAAGGAAAGGTACTTGGCGTTTGAACTGTTAAAGAGTTCGCTGCTTGGTACCCAGTAGGAATCTAGCAATTGCAGGTTCCGGGGTTTTAGTCAATAAGACTCGAACACTCCCTCTCGCCTTACCTAACATCGCGATTTTTTCTTAATATATAAACATCGATCACTAATAAAGAACTAGATACACAATCAGTGGCAAAAAAATGTCCCAACTGAAAGTCCACCAAACTCTACATAGCGGTGTAGTTTTAGTTTAGTACCACTCGAATGCTCCGACGGTAAACACGCCTCAGTGCTCGTTAAAAAACTGCAAAAACACACACATTTAAGATGCAAAAAAGGATGGAATTTCATATTTTCGTTAAGTAATAATATTATCATTATATAATTGTCATCATTCTATTTTAAATATTGATATTTTATTAAGAAATTAACTTTAAAACTTTTTCAAAAACCGGGGTTATAATGCACACAGTTTATAAAGACACTTATACTAAACGTAAAATCATTCTCTAGCATGACCACTTAAGTTGTTCGGTTTACGTGGATTGATTCTGTTCCGTTTAGCGGAGACGCTATTGTTCCTAATTTTATTTATTGTTTTTTTTATTAAAAAATAGTTTTTATTTAATATTATAATTCTTTACTGTGTTTATTAAAATATGGAATAGGCAGATATAATGGATTTAATTTTAACTGCAGTAAAGACATTTTTTTTAGCTTTCATCAAAATCCCGTGCGATATGAAAAATTTACAACAATAACGCCAACATTTTCAGTACTTACTTTAGATATATATTCTTTTTATTATTTTACATCTTTTTTATTTGACTTCGAATAGAAATGATTAAGGAGGACGAAAATAAAAAAAAGAATTATAACTATATGCATTAGTTTCATTGGTAAATAAATGAACAAACCTATAGAAAAGAATACTATAAGTAATGCGTTTTAATTTGCGTATTTTCTTTTTTGATAAATTATAAAATACGGAAGAAATATATTTCTTACGAGACATTTCGACTCCAATCATTCTTTGTCCTAGCGGTGAGCCGAAGTCGTTAAATTTTATTGCTTATTTTTGACACTTTGTAAATTCGACTTAAAAACATGCGAATATGGTTCAATTTCTTATGATTTGTGTTTGTCAAGAGCTTCGGTCGCAAAAAGTATTAAGATTTTGTACATCACTTTGTAAAAACAACTCTATGAGTTGCATTTAAGGTTTAATTTACATTAATGCATGTTTATTTCAAGTATAAGTACCTAAATACGGTTGGCGACAGTTTTGAAGCGAACTTTTGTATGGGATTGTGTATCTAGTTCTTTATTAGTGATCGATGTATATAAACCTAAATCTTTGAAACAAAAAACAATAAATCTTAATAATGTCGAGAACTCTATCCTAGTTTAAATTCAATGTATAAATAGCTAATCACGCATTTCTTTCACAGACTACAACTCCGTTGAAGAATACTGGGACGCCCTCGGCGAGTATGAAGGCGCCATATTAAAAGCAAGAGAATTGTGGGAAAACGTCAAACCACTGTATTTGAAACTTCACAAATATATTGCCCTTAGGTTAAAGGGCTCTGATGCTGTCGGCAAGCCTTTACCAGTACACCTACTGAGTAAGTATTCATAACCTACCACCACCTACTAAGGTAAATAATATTGTGACTATAAATTGAGATGTAAGCTATCCTATCTTTCAAGTTGGATCAAAATGGATACGGAATGCAAATCATATTTAAAATCGGTTTAGTAGTTTCATTACATAGACATCGGGGACAAACACGTGACACGAAATTTTTATATACAAAGATTGTGTATTTATGGTATAGTCCAGTGTATTATGTATATTTTGATGTATATAGATTTTTGGTATATTTAGTAGAACTTGCTTGCTTCTTGTTCCTGCTAGATTGTCTCTGCATCACCCAAAGGTTGACTGGTAGATAATGCTTATTGCATTAAGTAATCATATGTACAGAGTTTTGTGCATGAAATAAATAAAATTATAAATACTGCTTATATAAGTGATGATTGTATTAAAATTCTATATACTCCGCACGTAAGATAATATCAATAAAAATAGACACGTGTTTCTTTTGTTGTTATTGAAAACCAGTTTAAGTGTCGACTGTCGCTACGTCACAGCTTAACATAAAATGTATAATATGACGTCACAATAATATGATATTATTATTTAAAAACAGCCCGTCAAAAGCTGTTACTGATTTTTATATAATCAACTAAATGTGTTTTAAAATAACTGGGTACATCATTCCTATTCTGGAAAGGATATATATAGAAGGAAACGAATAAATCATTTAAACACGTATAGAATTCAACAACAAAAATATAAGGGAAAATTAAAATGAAAACTGTTGAAGTTCTTTCAGTTGGTAAACAAAAAATACTCGTATGGTTAGTTCCAATGCAGGAAAACTAACTTAAGCTTTAGCCGTGACTGTGTTATTTTGTTTTTTGTTTCATAACAAGAACTGTTACAAATTATATCAACATGTAACTGTAAATTAGAATAATAAGCTGGAATAGAAACTTTTAAAAGTGTTGTAAGGTTGAATTTTTTTATGGATTAGTTGGCGAAAGAATTGTTTAATATACTGATTATAAACAATCAGAGCGGTCACAACACCAGATGATTAACAAGTTACGACTTTTTAAAGTTGGATATTACATCATTTGGATATTTGGAGATACATTCACTCAAACAGTACGCAAATTTCCGCACCGTTGTTAGTATCATTCCCATCAAATCGGCCTATTCGTGCCGGAGCACAGCTCTCCTACACTTTACATTTTTAAAAGTAAATACTTACTACAAGTATAATACATACTTATACCATACGTATCACATCACATCATCAGCCTATAAGTGTCCACTGCTGAGCAAAGGCCTCTTCTTATACGGAGAAGGTTAGAGCATTAATCACCACGCTTGCTCAATACGGGTTGGCGATTTCAAACTTATAATTAGAAATTATAAGTCCAGGTTTCCTCACGATGTTTACCTTCACCGTATGTCAGTGGTGTCTAAATAATTATAGAAAGTACAACTCGGAAATAGTCACAATGGTACTTGCCAGGTTTCGAACCAACACCCTCATGCATGAGAAGCGGGCTCCTTAACCTCCACGCCACCACGACATCTTACGTATAATACTTGCCGAATAAAGAGCCCAATGATCGAAGCACGTATATTAGCGTTGCCTACAAAAAAGAGATGACTTGTTATGTAAAATTAAACAGAAAGCAAACTCACAATTTGTCACCATAAAAGACTAATTAGGCAAATCAAATTATCTGCGTTTGACGGAGGATTCAAATTTATTTGAATTGGAATGCTTAATTTCTATATTCAATTTTGCGTGAAATTCTGTGTGACCTTTGGCTACTTGGGAATTTCGTCTGGACCACATTTAGAAAACTTTAAATAGTTGTCATGTAAGCCCTTGATAATACCTAATGTGGTTTTTGACAAGTTATTAATCTTCATTCTGTAGTTAAAATCCAAGATAATTTGCTAGGCAATTAAATTCTCTTATGTTTTATATTACTTCAATATTCCAACAAATTGAACCTGTATGTCGATGACACTTGGACACCGTAGTTCAATAATGCTTGGCAGTGCTTACTTAAAGATAATATATATATGTATACGTACTAAATTCGTCTCTTTTACAGGATCATTAACGGGAGACGACTGGTCTAACCTCATAGAAAGTCTTCTACCGAAACATGCTGGTATTTATCAAAAAGTACACGCGAATCTTCAGTTAAAGGTAAGAAGTTTTTTATATCAGAATATTATATATATAATTTCAAATCACTTTGGAGTAACAAACCCGACCTTTCTATAGCAGAAACAGGAAAACACGCCATTTACTTTTTTTAATACTTTACCCTTCACGTTACTTTTTCCTGTACTGAGGGGGTATTAACACACATACAATATCACACAAACCCGGAACAACAATTTGTGAATCACTCAAAGACTTGTTTTGTGCGGGAATCGAAACAACGACACGTTGCGCGGCAGTCAGTTGGCCAGCCACCACGCCGACCGTGCAGTTGAACTTACAAAAACATAGTATCGATGAAATAAAAATTAACATAATCTGAACATTATTTTTAATGTATAAATGTATTTCAGAATTTGGGTGGAGTAGAAGCGTTCAAACAAGCAGCAAAACTCATCAAAGCGCTAAACTTAGGCGACGCAGACCCAGATATTTGGACTGAATCAGTCTTCAATAGTACTTGCCCACCAACACTGGTCGACTGGTGTAAGCCAAACAAAGTTAGAGCAATAACTTGTAAAGATGTCAGCATTGCCAACTACATAGAAGCTCACGAAGCTGTCATGAAAATCGTCTACAAGCAGACTATTAATTTACACAGCAACAACACTTACATCTTAAGAGAAGCGTCTCGCTATTCTGGTAAGACTCCGTTCTAGTTCCAAAGTAATTTCTTTGAGAACTTTGCAACTCATCGCGTTGTTTGTTCCAGCTGTGTATGAAGCTATTCCTGGTTTTGTGTCGCTACTCTCAGTGAACCCTCACGCGCTTAGTAAAGCGGGTCTATTCCCAGTGGAAACTTTTAACTATAACGCTAATCATCATCGTCTGGTCTTACAACTAATTATGGCTCTGAGAGATTTACCGAAGTAAGTTTTTTACCACAGACATGTTTAATGTGTAAGACACACACTTGAGACTTGATATTTTACACAATAACTTTCTTTCCAGGCTAAACTTCTACTTGGCAGCTGACGAATGGAGGATAAAAGTTTTAATGGGCGCGATACCGTACGCCAAAATACCAAGTAGTTGGAGCGATTTCCGTAAAAATTTCTCCAACATAGAAACTGCGGACAGTGATTTCCTCGGAGACCCATACATGATGTTTAATAAACCTTTTATTGGGTGAGTGGCTACTAAAACAAAAAAGTAATTCGATAAGAGATTTGTGTTTGAGAATTTCATATCTTACTATTATTTTCTTTTCTTTCAGAAAATTTATGGGCTTGATTCTAAAGTACCAAATCTATCAATCTTTTGCTGAAGAACTTATATCGGATGATTCGGATTTAATAAAACACGTTGCTGAGAACAATGAACGATTGATGTGAGTACCCTTTGTATTTCATCTACCCGTAGAAAACAAACCCTTTTACTGCTTGTCTAGCAATTTGTTTTACCTTTCCCCTTTATTTACAGAGACGCAATGATGCAAGGTTACGGGACCGTCTGGCCAGAGATGGTTAGCGATCTGCTAGCTAAGCGTGAATACGGCCTAGAATACACAGGATTGACGGACTACTACAAATTCTTAGATGAATACCTAGACAACCAGTTAGAGCCGTCAACGGACACCAGTACTTCCGACGATTATGTCGAACCAGTCGAGCCTGAACCTGTGCCAGAAGAAAATGAAATACCATCATCAGCCGAAAACCAAGAAAACAAGAATGTAGATAAAGTAGAAACCCACGAAGATATTGTAGATAACGTAATCGATACAGGTGATGAATCAAATTCTAAGTTTGGCGTCGAAACGTCCACAGTAGGAGTTTTGGAAATAAAGAATCCTGTTGCACCTGGGGACCAAAAAGAGGAGAATACGAAAGAGGCTTCGTATAGCACGTATTGGTGGATAGGAATAGCGGTAGCCCTGGCGGTGGTTGTGATATTAATAGCAATAATTGCGAGAAAACGCCACAGCCATAGAAAACAGCTGGAGAGGCAGCGGAAAAACAACTCGCATGCCTGATTTGAGGAATATCGGTTCTAGAAGTTGAACCGATATATTAAAGACACTGAGACTAAATATAGTGTAATCGTGCCAACAATTGAGTGGAGTTCAAAAAACGTATTTCTGTTCAGTGTATCGTTTCGTGTAATCTGCTTTTTTTTCGGGAACTTCAGTTGTATTTATCAGTGTTTGTTTATACATTTCCGTATTATTTATTACATTCATCACACACACATGTATTTAATTGCGTATACAATGTATACTCAGAATGTATTTATTTCAATTTTCTAATAATAATGCTAGGTTATGAAGATGGAAATATTTTTGTACATATCACAATTTGCAAGATAGAATAAATATTGTTACCAAAAGTGTCTATATAGTTGTATGTTCTAGTTAGATGTAATTTTGCTGTGCCTTAAGCGTCTCAATTTCTAATAAGTAAGATGCATAAAATAATATGTTAGGGATTATCAAATTTGTAAAAATAATGTAATTTTATAAAATCTCTATTTACCTACTGTCAGCTATTAATTAACATTTTCCGACCAAAATTTTGTTTGTCTTTACATAATTTTGTGTTTTAATTATAATTAAATTTGAATGTTCTATTTCTGTATTTGTAATTAATTATATATTTATGTTTTAATTTCATTTTGCTCGTAATTTATGTGTTTATGAAACTTTACTGTGGTGAAGTGGGGATTAGTATATTTGTGTCAACAATGAAAGCAGAGAATAATAAATGTTTTGAATATACATGTGTGTATTTATTTTCAAATGGTAATCCCTCGTTTGAAAACAAAACAAAATTAGGTTCGTAGTAATAAAATATAATAATATAATTTTGGGCTAGGTCGATAAACGAGCGGACGGCTTTCCTGATGGTAAGCAATCCGCACCTCCTATAGAGTTTCGTAACATCGCAAGAGTACTACAAATGCGTTTCTCATTTTTTGTGGGTTATTAAATGATGAATGGATGATGCGAAACAAGGATTGGGCCTTCGGTAACCTCACTCACGCGGCGATACACTACGTTAGTGTTGTTTCACACCTGTATTCTATTAGGCCGTGGCATCACTTCGGTTGAGCCGGCCTATTCCCGCCGAAGAATGGCTCTCCTCTTATTCAGAGGCCATTGTAAATGTTTCAAAATAAATATTTTAACTATATTTCTACCATTCAAAATCACTATCATTGCACTTAATTTGTATCATTCAAAAACCTTACACCATTCAGGACAACCATAACAAAACAGCGAATGTTTTTTTTTAGAATAAAGAACAGAATCCATTTTGAGATACGAAAACATTGCAACTATTGACCCTAAATATTAAGTTGCTCCTATCTTATCGAAGGAATAAGTTAGGAATAAGCCAGATAGCAAAAATGAAGTTGACACAATTACTAGCTGTGTCCGTTACCCCTTAGTTGGAAGGTTGCCAAAAGCACCCAAATATAAAAGGAAATTTGTACAAAGGAAAGTCGTGTAGTTTCGTACCTGAGTCTTTTTAGGTTTTTTTTTCTAATATTTTTAGATCTAGTAACATAAAAATTTAAAACCAGCCTCCATAGATGCAAATTCATTAACGAAATAATAAAAACTAAACACGTGTTCTTTGTCTATTTTCGATTTGAAGATAGGTTCGTTCGAAATTCGAATAGCCTCTTTTTCATATGAACTTCCAATCAATTTGATTTTCGAATAAAAGCCGTAGTTTGAAATCAGATCAAGTTTACTACTGTTTTTCTTACAATCTGACCTTTACCCTGAATAGAAATGAGGATTCATAATACAGAATAATATCTGTGTAGGTAGTATTCTCCTTCCCACGATCTATTTCTTTTATATCCCAATAATTCTGCTTATTTATTTATTTGTTTGTTTTCATCCAGTTCGAAAGCTAAGCTAGGCATAAAATTTAGCCTATCGAGCTGTGGTACTTAAGGTAGAGATTTACAACAATGGAGTAAACAAAACGCAAATCAATTTAAGTTAAACAACGTCGCCACTAAGTATATATTTATAAGGTTAGCCAGGTGGATGGAGATTGCAACATACAGGTTTAAGTTAATCAGATAGCTATGCTCCCTGGTCTCAGTCTAATGTGGCGCTGAGTCAGCTCTTACGTCATCCACGAGAAGAATAGGTAAGTAAAAGAAATAGGTAAAGGGAATATTAATTTTATTTTTGTTGCCAAGATACCATTACAATTAATGAAAAAGAAAAAAATACAGGCATAAAATTAATTTGAGCCAAACAAAAAATAAACATCTGAAAAAATATTAATTATTAGTTTGTAGTATCGTTTTGCTCCATGTTCGATTTTTGAAAGTTTGAATACGGTTAGTTTTTATAAAAATGGCCAGTACATTAACTGCAACTGTTTCCACCACAAATCATTATATTGTGTCAGCATTAGCATAATCTAAATACAAACAATCCGATCACAGATAGCTATATGATTTCAAAAAGGTTTTTGTTTCGGTCGGAAAACGGTGACCCGAAATATGATTGTTTTTATAATCCTACATTTATGATGAGTGATTCTTTTGTAGTAAGCAATTGGAATATGAATGTGCGTGATATGATAAATAAAGAAAGAATGTGTGCAGATATCTGTAGATATCTCTAGTGAACCTGCTTGAAAGTAAAGAAGAGAAATTAACAAGTAAAGAACTATTAGACCGTCCTTTACCTACCTTTATAATGTAAAAAAAGTATACAAATTAGGTCATTATCATTGACAGAGATAAAAAATAAAAAAAAAACGTAATTTTAAATTAAAAAAGCCGTTCTTACGACATTGCCCAACTGTTACACACACAGTTTATTTAAAAAAAACTTCTCAAATGAAATGAGATCACCCCTTGAACAAACAGCTAATATCGTTCTAATTTATGTTCAGTACTCCTAAAAAATCATTGGAATGTTCCTAAGCATCTAAAAGAGAATAATTTAACTGTTTGTTATTCCAGGATATGTTTGTGTTTCGCGATTTATTATCACCCTCGATCGTTGGGCCGCTCGTACTTTTTATTTTATTATGTTTTGTTATGAAGGGAATTGGTTGTAAAGACTGACATTTGTGATAGATACAGGATGTTGACAGTAGCGTCTCAAGTTAACCCCAATATAAAGCTGAGTTTTAACTTTGTTGTTTCTGTACTAAAGTCTAAATTCGGTCGAAGAAATTTGATGTTATGAACTAACTTCGTGTGCTATAGCACATCTGGATTAATTTCCCAATTGATACGTTTTCCGGACTTTTAAAGATCGACTTGTTTGTTAGTATTCGTGAACCAAAAAAGTCCTTAGTTCTAATTTTTATACATTTGTCATAGTAATTTTGTAAAATAAAAAACCGCAAAAATGTAGTGATTTGCCTATGTAGGTAATCTTAATCTTGAGCGAGGCAGATGGCAGGACCACCTGTAATATTTCTTAAAGCGATATTCCTTAATTTTTTTAGTATTCTTTCCCCTCAATGGGATAAGTGGGAATGTTAGCCTAAAAACCATCCCATTCTTTCTCGATCAAGGGATGTTTCTACCTCAGTGCTAAATCAATAATCTGTTTAACTGGACCCATGGCCTGAACATGAACTGGCCACCCATGGATAACCTACACCAGAGGAGTTACGAGTACGTTGGCGGTCTTTTTGCCGTTGTTAGGAATTCTCCGGCAACCTCACTAACACGGCGAACAAGAACACAAGCGTTGATTCACGCCGGTTTTCTGTGAAGCCCATTAGTGGCAAAGCACTGGCTGCCATGACTATCCCACATGAGAAGCGCAATTCGATCTAAACGCAGTGTTCCAATCAGCGAATAACACTCGTTAACAAAAAGGGACTGTGACAAGGAATAATAACTTCCTGACCCTACATCCTTGTTCGTGTGTCAGCAAAAACATTTGTGAACCTTTTAACATGAGTACTTACTAATGATCCGTGTTGTAATCTAAAACTGGATTTGCTTTAAAATGTATTTTAAGCGTAGAGTTGGTACATAAGTATGGCGTTTAGCGCATTGGCTGCGGAATTTTTCGCTGGGTCGACTCTAGCATAGAACAACTGTTGTCATCAGATACAACAATTTGTGGATCACCAAAAATTAATGGTTCGGGTTTGTTTGGCATTTTCAATGTCTGTAAATGAATACAAGAGTATCTTTGTGTGGAGCAAAGTTTTTTAAAAGCACCTGTTTTTCTTTTTTGATGCTTACTTACAAATATTTAGAGTCTTAAAATGATAATGAGGATTGTAATATTTTTTTCTCAATCTGAATAATTTGCTCAAGAACCTCATCTGAAGTGTTTAAACCTCCGCCTTCCCCATGGCCATGTGGAGTAGGAGATGGTAGGGGGTGTTTTTAGTAGGTAAGAATCTGGTAATGCTTATCGCCCCATCCTGGACGAGAGAATTAATTTGATCATTTTCCCTCCTCAAACAGGAATGTAAAATGTCGGTGTAGTTGATACCAATAATAAAAGGCTATAAAAGTTTGTTAACTTCAGAGTGCTATATGTATAGCTCTTTCTCTTACTTACACTGAAGTAAGATTAAAACAATCTTACTTTGCTCGTCATGGTTACCCCCCAGAAGTAAATAAAACCTGCTTTGAGCAAAAAATTGACTTTCTAGGATTCAACGGTTAAAGCAAAAAAAGGTTTCAACAACTGTCTGTTGATGGACAACTAATAAAGGTTTCGAGATTTGTGACAAAAGACATCTTAACCTTTCAATCATGGTAATTCGAGACACAGTATGCGCAAACGCCGGCGTTTGCTTGGGGTTTGATGAATTAAATCGCAGCGTACCCATACAGAATGGGGAAACTGTCAATTCAAAAGTCACAGAAACTGAACAGAATCTGATGTAATTTCATACTTGTACACAATATCATGGACTTCATCACTAATTCAAATGTACATTTTCCATAATTTCTAATAAATTGTAAATATATAAACTTTATTTGTATGTTCGTTTCCGTTCACGGGATCATAGGATCCCG